CCGGCGTCGTGTGCCCTTCCACCCACATCAACCCCACCACAGAAGTGTCCTGGCAGAGCCCGGGCAAGGTGGGCGACTGCTCCAGTTCCTCTGAGGCAGCGATGCCAAAGCCCCACTGGTCCCCTTTTCACAGCAGATGGAAGGACCTTGGGCGGGTTCGGGTGTCGGTAACGACACTTCCCAATGAGCCCTGAGCCCACCCCCGTCCACAGCAGCTTCCAGATGAAGCATGACAACCAGAGAGATCTTTCAACGCCTCTCGACAGCGCTTACTGGGATCTTGTCAAGGCTGAGGTGAGACTCCCAGGGCTGGACTCCCAGGGAATTCCAAGCCCTTCTGGTAAACTGGGATACACTGGAGACTGTTCAGCCAGGGGGAACCCCAGCAGGCGTGAAGGACCTTGGGGAGATCCCTACGTGGCCCAGGGATCTAAGAGCAGATGGAGCTGAAGTGCAGGAGCAGAGAGAACGTCCAGAGCGACCTGGGGAAGAGCCCAACAGGCCCTGGGGAGGCTCCAGGGAACGAGTCTCCAGAGCTGCAGTCGTGAGCTGGGGGCAGGAGCGTTTGTGGCCCGAGCTTGAGGTGGGTGGAGCCGGGTGGGATTCACCCCACGGGGACTCAATGGGGTGTCCCCATGCAGCCCCGTGGGGAGGGATGGGGACAGTGTTGGGAGCCACCTCCTCTTCCTCATGGGGCCTCCTCTTCCTCCCCACTGCAGGTGGCCTTTCCCCCTGTTTCCCCCCTCCCTGAATGATCCCACCCGCATCCAACCTGTGGCTCCAGAGGACAGAGACCCCCCAGGTCCCCCTCGCGCCTCAGACACACCCACAGCCACGGGGCCGTGCTGCAAATGGCTCTTTATTGACCCCACGTTGGGTCCCTCGGTGCCTTCAGTAGGTGCTGAAGATGGCCTCGATGTGCTCCCCGTCGTGTGGCTTGTAGGTGCCGACCCCTGTGGTGGAGGGATGGGGGTGAGCTCAGGGCTCCATGTTCCCCCCGTGCCCCCCAGACCTCCCCACTCACCTTCCTGGAGAGCATCCTGGCCACTGAGGAACTTCCAGTAGGTCCTGTCGTCCGTGTTGGCAGCCAGCCCATGGATGGAGACCACCATGGGGCCCCAGGACGTCTTCTCCGTCTTGAAGCTGCAAGAGACAACGAGTCTTGTAAGGCGCTTGGCCAGAGAAGGGCAACAGAGCTGCTGGGGAAGGGTCTAGAGCCCAAGTGTGGGGAGGAGCAGCTGAGGGAGCTGGGGGTGCTGAGCCTGGAGCAAAGGAGGCTCAGGGGAGACCTTCTGGCTCTGCACAGCTCCTGACAGGAGCCTGGAGGGAGGGAAAAGGGCCTCAAGTCACCCCAGGGGAGGTTGAGGTTGTCCCTGAGGAACAATTTCTTGCCCTGGAGGGTTGCCCAGGGCTGTGCCAGGCTGCCCAGGGCAGTGGTGGAGTCCCCACCCCTGGAGGGGTTTCCAAGCCGTGGAGATGTGGGGTGAGGGACACGGGGCAGTGGGCACCTGGCAGGGCTGGGGTTGGACTCCAGGAGCTGAAAGGTCTTTTCCAATCCAAGAGATTTTCTGCTTCCTTGAGAAGCAGGTGAGCTCAGGGCACGACGCCAGGTTCCTGCCCAACCCCCTCATCTCTCACCTGAAGTTCTCAGGATCCTCCTTCTCTGCTTCCTCCAGCACCTTGAGCAGGATGGAGCCAGCTGGGACCTCCACTGAGATTTGGAAGCTGAAGGGCTGTCCCTGCAGCCTGTTGGTGACAGTGTAGTGCACCGTGATGGTGGTCTCTGGGAGGGGAGAGGGGCTGGGTGGGTGCCCGGCACGGTGCCACGGGGCACAGGGCAGGAGCATCACCCCCGTGGGCTCTGGGGGTGCTCTGCTGGGGGCAGCTGTACCTTGCTGACCCTCAGTTGTCCCCCGCTGCGTGGCCGGGGACAGCTCCACGCCCGGGGTCGCTCCCTCGGTGGCCGTGCAGTTCAGGCTACCTGCTTCCAGGTAGGGTTTGCCCACGAGGGCAGGCAGGACCTGGGCGATGGCCATGGGCTGCTGGTAGTCGTGCTGGCACACCTTGGCGAAGGCCTGGGCACAGTCCCACTCCCGGGGGGCGTAAAACTTCTCCGCGGCTTCCAGCGCCTGCAGGGGAGGGGGGAGAGGGTGGGAGCAGCCCTGGGAGAGGCACCCAGCAGCCTCGGGGCTGCCAACCACC